CCTGTAGTCCCAGCTACTCAGGAGGCTGAGGCAGGAGAATGGCGTGAACCCGGGAGGCGGAGCTTCATGACAGGGTGTGCCCTGTCGCCCAGGGTGGAGTGCAGTGGCACAATCTCAGCTCACTGCAACCTCCGCCTCTGGGGTTCAAGCAATTCTCTGCTTCAGCCTCCCGAGCAGCCAGGATTACAGAAGCACACCACCACACCTGGCTAATTTTTGTATTTTTAGTAGAGACAGTGTTTCACCATCTTGGCCAGGCTGGTCTTGAACTCCTGACCTCATGATCCACCCACCTTGGCCTCCCAAAGTGCTGGAATTACCAGTGTAAGCCACCACGCCCAGCCTAGAAAACTTTCTAATAGTCTAAGCTGCCCAGTGCTGGGTATCAAGCTTTCCAGAGCTTCCTAACACCAGTGCTTTAAGCACTATTCTGCTTATTTATGTAAACACAAGCTACACTGAGTGCTGACTCTGCTAGGCACTGTGCTTAGCACATCACGTGCAACACAGTAACCCTGTGAGATAGGTGCTATATCATCCCCATTTTACAGATGGATAAACTGAGGTTTGAAGAAGGAATGTCAGTTTCCCAAGGTCACGCTGCTAGTGGGTGGTGGGGCAGGACTGAAACTCTTGAACTCTTCCCCAAAGCTATTTGTGCTTGCGGGTCTCTCCCAAAAAAGAAAGAGAGCTCTGAAGTGGGAGGAACTTCTGGCTACCTGTCAGGGCGGTGGGCTTCACAGGTGTCCCTGAAGGCTGGGGGTATCCAGGCACTGCAGTTCGCAGCTCTCGGGCCACTTTGCTGCGCAAAGGGTGGGCAGGAGGGAGCTGCTCCAGCAGCTGCTCCAAGGCCAGCCGCAGGAGGTCCAGTTTCTGGGAGGACTCCTGTAGCTGGGCCTGGGCCTGCAGAGGGGACAAGGTAGAGCCAGGTTTGTGGGTTATATGGCAGGGGGCAGCAGCCCAGGTCACCCGGAGTCACCTTCTGCATGAAGTCTCGACAGAGAAGTCCTGCTTCTACACGGCCACCCTCCCTTCACGCCCCTGCGGAGGGTGGTATGGGAAGAAGCCGGCCTTAGGAGAGGGCCAGGGCTGGGACCTGACCTCGGCCAGCGCCTTGCGGTCCTGTGTTCTCCGGCTACTGAGCAGTTTCACCACGTTCTTGGCGCCCTCGGCCACGGATGCCTCAACGTGCAGTCGATGCTGTAGCTCCTCCGCCAGCAGCTCAGGCCCTGTGGGAAGGAGGGCAGCTCTCAGCCTCTGCTCTGCCCTGCTCCGCCCTCCCTGTATCTCAAGGCCTCACCTGGCTCCGGGGACCCACTGGCCTCCAGGCTGCTGATCTTCATCCGCAGCAGGGCCACCTTCAGCTGGCTGTCCCGCAGCATCTGCTGGGCAGCTGCCAGGAGCTTCCTCTCCTATGGAGCCGTGGCACAAGCCCATCAGAGCAGGCCTGGGCCATAGCTTCCCCCATCAGACCAGGGTTAAAGTGAAAGCCTGGTCTCCCCCATCAGAACAGGGTTAAAGTCAAACCTCGCTCAGTAGGCCAAACACTAGAGTCAAACCTCCTTTGTTGGACTAATTGGTGGGTCAGGGGAGCCTTTTTCATCAAACAAGGGCTGGGGTCGAGCTTCCCCTTTTGTATCAGGGCTGGGGTCATGCCTCTCCCATCAGATCAGGGCTGGTGCTAACTCTTCCCCATCAGATCAGGGCTGGTGCTAACTCTTCCCCATTAGATCAGGGCAGGGGCTAAGCTAAGCCTCTCCCAACAGATCAGGGCAAGGGCTAAGCTAAGCCTCCCCCATCAGATCAGGGCAGGGGCTAAGCCTCGCCCACTAGATCAGGGCAGGGGCTAAGCTAAGCCTCCCCCATCAGATCAGGGCAGGGGCTAAGCCTCGCCCACTAGATCAGGGCAGGGGCTAAGCTAAGCCTCCCCGATTAGATTAAGGCTAAGGTCCTGCCTCCCTCATCATATCAGGACCACAGCCAAGCCTTCTTGTCATCCAAATACTGAGGCCCAGTTCCTGACATCATGCTGGGAGCTGGGACTGGGGCTGAGCTAGGATCCCATTAGACCAGGACAAGGCCTTCTGTGTCACACTAGGGGCTACAGCCATGCCTTCCTCACCCAGCTGGGGTTTGGGGCCATATTTTCCCCATCAGACCGCAGGCTGGGATGGTGTCTCCTTATGGGCTCAATGGCTGAGCTGCATTTCCCTGTCGGACCAGGGGCCAGGGTGCCCCTGCCATCAAACTGTGGGGCCTTACCTTGGGGGTGCCACTGGCACACGTGTGGGTCATGTTCTCAGCCCCCTGCTTCACCTTCAGCTCCACATGCAGCTGCCTCCGGAGAGCCTCTAGGTGCCGAGCCCTGAGCTGCTCTGCCCACGGCCGGGGTCCTGAGGCCACAGGCTCTGTGCACGGGGGTATCAAGCACATAAGTCCGTCACTCAGAGCCGACACCCCCACTGTGGCCTCTCCTCCTTCCCCGACTGATCTATGGGCAGGAAATGAGCTGGTCTCACCACAGTGGCCAGGGCCAAGGCCAGGGGCCAGATCGGCCTGGAGCCTTCTGTCCAGAGGGGTCTCGGCTCCTCACTCACCAGCCGGGTCAGGCCCAGGGCCGGGCAGCAGGATTCGGGCATGCAGCTCCCTCAGCTCCCCATGCAGCTGCTCCAGGCGGCGGTTGGAGGACTGCAGCAGCTGCTGCACATGGCCCAAGTGGCGGCGGTCTGTGGCCACGCGCCGCAGGTTCTCCACCCCCTCCTTGATCTTCAGCTCCTTCTGGATGGCCCGCCGGACCACCTCTTTCTCATCCTCCGGGGGCCACTGGGTTGGCCCAGGCTGCAGGGCCGGTGGAAAGCAGAGGGTGGAAAGCAATCACGGGGTGCAACGGCCACCGGCAGCCTCTGCTCACTGCAGATGGAGGCGGAGGAAGGGACGGCACCCAGGACTGACAAGCACAGGGTTTGGGAAGCCTCTCTCCCTTTAGAGCTCAGGCCTGAGCCAGATGGAAACTCCGAGGCCACTCATCTAGGCCAGGCTCCTGTTCTCTGCCCGTTAGAGAAGGGTGGGGCAGGGGGGATAGTTCACACGGTACACGGGTGCCAGGTTCTATTCTAAGAGCTTTGTATAGATTACCACATCACTTCTCCCAGCAACCCCACCCGGTAGCAGCGGTCATTACCCCCATTTTCTTTTTTTCTTTTTCTTTTCTTTTTTTTTTTTTTGAGACAGAGTTTTGTTCTTGTTGCCCAGGATGGAGTGCGGTGGCACCATCTCGGTTCACCACAGCCTCTGCCTCCTGGGTTCAAGCAATTCTCCTGCCTCAGCCTCGTGAGTAGCTGGGATTATATGCACATGCCACCACCCCTGGCTAATTTTGTGTTTTTAGTAGAGACGGGGTTTCTCCATGTTGGTCAGGCTGGTCTCGAACTCCCAACCTCAGGTGATCTGCCCGCCTCAGACTCCCAAAGTGCTGGGATTACAGGTGTGAGCCACCACGCATGGCCTATTTATTACCTCTGTTTTCTAGTGAAGAAACTGAGGCCCAGAGAGGTGAAGTAACTTGCCCACAGTCAAGACACAGAGAAGGAGAGACCACCATCTCTCAGGCCCCAGCTGTCCCTGGTAGCCCTGGGTAATCAGGCTGCTCTATGTCTGGGATCCAAAGTAGAGTGCAGGAGCCAGAAAAGCTCAACGCCGAGTAGGGGTTCACACAAAGCCATATGAGAAGGCAGCCAGGAGTCTGGGAGCCAGGGCTTGTTCCCCTAATGTCCCAATGCCACAGGTAGCAAAGCGGAGGCACGGAGAGGGACTGGGGAGATCTCCGGGTGCCCACCCACTGCTCAGCTCCTGGGAGGAAGTAGAAAGCTCTCTCACGGCTTCACCCAGGTTGGAGCCAGGAACAGGAACACCTCCTTTCCAGCCACCAGTATTTCAAACCAACCGATGCCAAAGGTGACCTCAGGCCAGGGTAACCCACGATGCCCCGCAACACGGGTTCTTGCAGGGACCCCATCTTACCTCTCTGTGTTCCATCTTCTCCTGAGCCCAGTGGAAGGGGCCGCAACCCCAGACTCAGGGACCACCCCCCCTCCTCCCGCCCCAGACCTCAGCTGGGCCTGCTGGCCCAGCTGTCAGAGGGCAAGGGCGAGGCTCAGGAAATCCTCTGACCGCCCTAGGCCACAGGGCCAGAGCCAAAGACCGGAGCAAACAAAGGTCCCATGGAGCTGGGGGCCCGGCCACCGGGGTCCTGAGTCACCCAGCTGCCGCTGCCGCTGCAGGGTGGAGCCCCGCAGGAAATCGGAAAATGTGTACAAGCTACGTCTGGAACAGGCGGAGGGACCTCCAGAGGAAGGGGGTGGGAAGGGGCTGACCAAGCCCCAGCCCTGAAGGCGGCTTAAGCAACTGGCTTGGGCACTCAAGGAGTCTACACGCACCCCCAAACACCCCTATGGTCCTGTCTGCTCCGGGTTGGAACTCCAACATGGACACACACACTACCTCCTTTCTGCTCTTTGCGGGGACCCACTCCTGTCCGCAAATGTCCCCCTCTCCACCACTGGCTCCGGGGCAGGATACCACCTCTCCCTCCCCAGTAGCAGACAGACACGACCTCGGTCCTCCGGGCCCACGCGCACCAGCACCTACTGCCAGCTCTGGCAGGAAACCCGGCCCCCTCCAAGTTCTAGAACCCACTATACGTACCCAAAGGTTCCCGCCCCGGGGCAGGGGAGGCCGCTCCCCTCTCATCCACGCTCCCCTCGCGCCTCGTGCGCTGCGAGAGGGACTCCCGCCACTGCCAAGCGCGCACAGACTGCGCCCGGTGCAGCGCGCACATTCTAATCCCCCCAGGCCCGTGTGGTTCCCCCCTTCTATCCCGGCTAATTCCAGTCGGCCTTGGAGCCCCACCGGGGAGAACCGACTTAAGGACACTCTGGGGACCACCCTCGTGGCGCACACTGCGGACTCAGCCGTCCTCGGTCACTGGCTGGTTGAGGTACGGGCTCTGGCTCAGCCGCGGGCTAATTTGGAGACGCTGCAGGGTCCAGGAACAACCCAACCCGGAGCTCAGGTCTGCTCTGCAAGGGCGTCGCGGGGCCGGGGCCAGGGAAAGGGCAGGGAAGGGGCGCGGGTGAGGGGCGGGTTGGGGGACGCGGCCTCGGTTCGGGGCTCCGGGGCGATGACCGAGGCTTCCCCGCACCCCACCAGCCCCGCGGGCCCCTCCCGCGCCGTTCACCTGCCGCGGCGCCCCCTCCTCCATGGCGCCTCTCCGGCCGCTTGGGGCCCTCCTCTCCGCCACTCCGGTCCCGGAAGCCGCAGCCCCTCCGCCAGGACTTTCAAACTTGAAACTTCCCGGGAAGCGGCGCCGGAGACGCGGGATCGGGCGCCCCCTCCCGAGACCCGCTGGCCCCCGGGGCCAGCACCGCCTCCCGTCCACGCCGGTCCAGCGCCGCCTCCCGTCCGCGCCGGTCCAGCGCCCCGGACCCCACGCCCGAGGTCCCGCGCTCCAGCGCCTCCCTCGGATCCAAAATTCCGCGGGATTCCGGGTCCAGCACCCGGGCCTCGGCGTCCGCAGTTCCCGCTGGGCGTCACCGCGCCGCACCCCCGGGTTGGACGCGCGAGAGGTTCATCGCCGGCGCCCAGTCCTCTGGCCTTCCCCGCCGCACGCCGGCAGGAGCCGTCCAGTTGGGGATTGGGATGGGGGGTGGACAGCGCCCCCTGAAGGTCGCCGGGTCGCCCGGCCGGATTCAGCCCTTAGAGCTGGCCGGCCGCTGCCTCAAATTTTGAGCCCCTCCACAACCTAGCTCCCGCCTCTAACGCGCAGGGCCTCCTCGACCAAGCCCCTCAAGTCTCTTTGTCTCGCATGTTGTTAGTGTTAATGTGGGCTAATCCAAAATTGCCCTTCTCCTCGGAATGGGTGGCCCAGAGGAGATATTAGTCACTACAAGAACGTATACTAGGCCAGGCGCAGTGGCTCACGCCTATAATCCCAGCAGTTTGGGAGGCCGAGGCGGACGACTCACGAGGTCAGGAGTTCAAGACCAGCCTGGCCAACATGGTGAAACCCTGTCTCTACTAAAAATAGAAAAATTAGCCTGGCGTGGTGGCGGGCGCCTGTAATCCCAGCTACTCAGGAGGCTGAGGCAGGAGAATCGCTTGTACCCGGTAAGCAGAGGTTGCAGTGAGCCAAGATCCTGCCACTGCACTCCAGCCTGGGCGACAGAGCGAGACTCCGAGACTCCGTCTCAAAAAGAAAAAAGCTTTAAAAAAGAAAGAACGTCTGCCGGGCGCGGTGGCTCACGCCTGTAATCCCAAAACTTTGGGAGGCTGAGGCGGGCGGATCACCTGTGGTCGGGAGTTCGAGACCAGCCTGAACAACACAGAGAAACCCCGTCTCAACTAAAAAGACAAAAAAGTCTGGGATTATCCCAAAAGTCTGGGATTATCCCAAAGTGCTGGGATTACAGGCTTGAGCCACCGGCCGGGCCCATCTCTTAATCAGACTGAGCTTGCTTGTTCAGCCCGTGCCACTTTTTAGGGCTTTACCCTAAAAAACCCATCCATCCACATGTGAGAAAAGACACAGCTGGTGAAATAGCCGCCATTATCTCAGCCCAAGGGAGGTGTGCTGGTCACTGCCTAGTCTACAGCAGGCCATTCAGCCCGTCCTGGCATCTTGCGTTTATGGGAGGTTGTGCCAGGACTTTGTGGAGGAGCGTCCTCCAGGAGGTGGAAAGGTGATGAAGAGTCAAGTACTGACAGTGACTTGAACAGACAGGCTCCGGTGCTCTTACTGAAGGAAGCCACATGTTGTGCTTTGCACTAATCACTTCCCTCACAATGGACTGGAAAAAAAGTGAAATTGGTTGAGCCATGGACAATGCTGGGTTGTCCCGCTATGGGAAGTCAACCAAGTGGCATTGACATATAAGCAAAGGCAACCTGGCTCTGTGAAAAATGCCCAGATTTAATAATCAGAGGCAAAATGTGACATTTACACATTAGAATTGTTGAGGTCTAGACATTAACACAAGCACCTGGCACATAGTAGGTTCTTTAACATGGGGGTTGGCTGGGCGTGGTGGCTCATGCCTGTAATCCCAGCACTTTGGGAGGCCGAGGACAGCAGATCAC